AAAGGAAAAAAGTTTTGTGTAAAACTGTTCTGAAACATTAAAACCTGCTAAGAGACTCCTTTTGAGACAAAATTTGGAGGGCCCAAAATACCAATTCTGTGTTTTGAATGCTCAGCAGAACATTTATGGATTGGTTTGCTTTCTCTAACATCATGTGTACAAGGATTCATTAATTTGCTGTGTAAATATTTTTTGGGTTACCCTCACTGTGCCAAGTAGTGGGACTCTTAAAGTGAATAAAAGTGAAATGTCTGTGTTATTGTATGACATAACTACTGTAAGGGAGACAGATATTGGGAGACAAAGGGGAAGAATCATAGAAATATGTATGGTAATTATAAATTGTGATAAATGCTTTGCGTGAAAAGTAATTATAATTAAGTGATTTCATTTCAGTTTGGTGCAGTTAGAATCTGCCAGTTGCTCCATGGGAGAAAAATGGGCAGTCTCCTCTCCTGTGTTTAACTGCCCCTGGATACCTGCTGGAGGGTCAGCTCTGAGTCAGTCCTAACATGATGGTACATAACAACAACAGGAAAAGAATTTTAAAACCAAAGGCTAAGGAATAAAGTTATTTAGGCAGAAAATTCCAGACAAAGGAGATGCAAGTCAGGAAGAGGTTGGAATGATAGAACTTTAAAAGGCCAAGTGGCTAGAACACAGTGAATAAGGAGAAGAGTGTCTTAGAGTTAAAGGTGAAAAGCTAGAAGAAGTTGAGTGATGCATGGACTAAGTAAGTAGTTTTGAATGTACTTTAAAATATATAGGAAGCTGTTAAATGATTTTAAGTAGAGACATGGAATGATTTGGTCTAGATTTTTTAAAAGTTTTTATTAAAACATTCTTCTAAGTGGTATAGTACTGTCCATTTGCTGTACAGAGGTAACTCATGGATGCTGTGATGCTAAACACTGTAACATTGATGTGTCAAATGCAATAATGGTTACCCATGCTGGACAGTGTTTGGTGGAGCTCCCCGATTAAAAGAAGCTTGGAAGCAGGAGTGGCATCCACTTCTGAAATAGCTTGTTGTCAGAAACTCTATGAACTTGGGAAAATGATGAAAGTTATGCAAGTGTTCAGGTCTTTCGTTCAAAGGGTCGCTATGAGTTGTCTATGACTCAGTGACACTTAACAACAACAGCAACTCTTAGCCTAAAAATGGAGAAAATACATTGACAGTACCCATTGCCCACACTGTTTGCCATTTTGAAGTCTCAGGTTTCTTTGTATTATATTTTATTAGCATCTATTACAATAATTTCCATTGAATACAGAAAACATCAAATGGTTTGCAAATGAAAAAGCAATCACACTGTCTCGTGTGTATATAATGTGAGTGGCATGGGATCGAGGGCAGAGTGGAGAGTCCTGCTAGCGCACTGCAGTTGTCCGGGTGGCCCGGGTTGTAGACTTCTCAGTGGACATGAAGACACTTGGGTAGATTCCGGATATATTTTGTAGAGAGGATCCATTAGAACTGATTACATGTAGGATATAATAATACATGTTAAGGGTGTAAGAAAGGATTCATTAATAAATCAAGGATAATTTCTGATTAGCACAAATAAGTGGATAGGGAATAGCAGTAGTCATTTGTAAATTTAGAGAAGGAACAGATTCAGAGGAAAGAACAAGTAGAATACACGGTTTGGTTTTAGAACTGTTAGGGTCAAGGTACCTGTGATTGGTTTACGTAGAGATATCAGGAAACCAGTTGGATATATAGATTTGAAACAAAGACCCAAAAATCCATTACCCTGGAGTTGATTCTGACTCATTGCACTTACATAGGTTAGAGTAGAAATGCCCTAGAGGATTTCTTTTTTTGTTGATTTATTTTATTTTATTATTTTATGTGTTTGTGCCGTCAAATCAGATCTGACTGGTTGGTACAGGAGGAGATTGCCCCTCCTTCTCCAGTAGAGTATCTTGTGTATTCGAACCTCATATCTTTGGTATTGCAGTGCAGCTGCTCGCCACTAGTCCACCAGAGCTTCCAAGTTTTGTTGATTTTTTTAATTTGTGATTTTAACTAAAGTTTACAGAGAAGTTTGATTTTCATTTTTGAAAATTTTCCTCCATAACCCTCAGTTCACTTTTTTTAAACATTTATTTTTGCATAATTTCCTCCTACTCCACCCCTCCCCCAGTTCACTACGCAGTGCACCTCTTATTCTGGACTTTTGTTATACAAACAATGCCTAATCGTATATTCCTTTTAAACAGTTCTGTAGTATTTGCAAAAGAAAATTTCCACATCTTTCTCCTGTAGAACAGCTAATGCTTCAAACTACTGACCTTTGTATTAGCAGCCAAGTGCTTTAACAACTCTGACCAGAAATCCTTTTACAGTTCAGAAGGGTTGGTATGTATTTGGGTCATGGTTAATATTTAAAACTATGGGCATGAATGGAATTGAAGAAGAGTTCCAAGAACAGTTATCTCCCTAGTCCTCCAAAGACATTTTTGAAGATCTAGAAAAAAAGTAGGATGGACCCGAAATAAAGTCAGGATGAAAAGTAGGAGAGTTGTGCTATTACCAAACATAGTCAACATCTTTTAAGAAGTTCTTTAAGAAGTTTTCTGTTTTATGTCCCTGTTGCAGTTTACAGTCTTGTAATAGTTTCTACTTACTATTGGGCTGCTCTGGAAAGTGTCTGTCAGTGCTGGTTAGTTAATAACATGGAACAGTCCTATTTTACAGTATATGAGATACTAAGGAGTAGGAATTTTAATGTAGCTGAAAGCACTGAGTTTGCAAAACAGCTTTATTTGGAACTTGGGGAAAGGAAGTGGAATGTGTTCAAATTTATTTTCTGTTCAGTTGTATTTAAAGTAAATATCAAGATAGTATTTATTCAGAAGGAATCTTACATATTTTTAAACTTCTTGGAAATTAGGAGACACGTACTCACTGGCCCTGTCATCTAGTCCACAGAGTTAGAGGTAGGAAACGTTGAAAGCAAACCTAATGCTTCTATAGGAAATGACCATAAACAAAGTAATCTAAAATTTTTTAAACTTTAGTATATGAAAAATTCTAAATCTATTTAAAGAATGCTTTTCTGTATCATTTATAGCACTGTCCAATAGAACTTCATGCAGAGATGGAGATATTTTATACTTGTGTTCTCTGGTGCAGGAGGCATTAGGCACGTGTTAGCCACATAAAATGTCTATCTTTGACTAAGGAACTGCATTTTTAATTTTTGAAGTAATTAATTTGAACTTAAATAGCCATGTATAGTTAGTTAGTGGCTATTGTTTGTTACTAGACAGCACAGGAAAAATGTAACACAGGCTTTGCATTTAGATGAAAGCATTTAGATAAACTCTGCAATGTGGACTTGACATTTTCTCTCTTAACTTTCTCATTTATTTTTCTTTCTAGTTTCAAACTCTATCATTATTTTTTTAAAAGAACAATTTAAACATTTTTTTTGGTTTTTACTCCTTTAACTTTTCTATAGTGAAAACATCTTAATATTTTCATATAGCATTATAGCACTTGCTTTTTCTGGGAACCATGTTCTTGGGAAAATGTGACTTTTTAAAACTGAGCTGCCTGTGTTACCTAACAAAATATGGTGTAAAAAAATTCTAATATACAATGAAGTGCTCTTGTAATTTACCTGTGCGGCCTTGCCTTTCAGTGTCCCAGGGCCTTTCCTTCCCTTTCCTGGAGGCTCATTTATTTAGCTAGGATCCATTTATAAGATCACCAAGCCTTTCTTCTGCGATGCATCTGGATGGACTTGAACTTCTAACCTTTCAGTGTTATATAGGTCGCACCTGTTTGGTACTCTCAAGTCACTTCTGACACGTAGCAACATGAACACAACAGAACAAATTACTGCCTGACCTTGCACCTTCTTTTAAAATTTATGTCCTTTTTTTCTGTCATCCTCTGGCCTTAATTGATTCACTTGTCTCACTAAAACTGAAGAAACTTTTTATGGAAGTAAAAATTGGAAACAAATGTAGGCAGGCTTACTATGATTCTTTTTATTCTCTTGATAATTAAAAGAAATCTGATTTTAGAGGCGTAATTATTTCATCTTCCTTAATATCACTCCTGTGGTAGAGATACTATTCTTCTGATCATTTTTGTGTCCTTTTAATGGTTCTAGAGACCTGTGTCCATTATGAAACAATGGCATTTAGAAAGAGCTGAAATAAGTGTACAGGTTTTGTTACATGTATTCCCATTGTTTTAAAATTGCATGTTTCATAATGGACAGGGATGCAATATCGTGTGTGTGTGTGTGTGTGTGCATGACGCATGCATGTACACACACCTAATTTCTTTTTCTTCAAATATACACCTGTATTTAGATTATGTGTTTGGAGTTAAGGATATTTCTTAATGTTATCAGTTCATTTCCTCTTGTAACCAGAGGAGTACAGTTTCAAAGTTATTGACTGTGTGCTCTGTGGCCCTGGAATAGAATGAAACTAAATGGCCACAGGGGAATTTAACTATGAGGTTGATGTTTTTGATGCCATTAATATGTTCATTCTAATTGAGTTATTAGTCCCCGTCAAAGATGGACAGTATATATCAATGGTTAAAGCTATTCCCCAAGGGGTTTTTAATCTTAAGTACTAGTCATTTGGTTTCCTTCTGTCTGCTTAATACAGATATATATCACACTTTGATGATATTTTGAGAATAATACTTCTCTATTTCCTTTAGCTTTTTGCAAGAAAAATTAAACAAACTGGGTTTAAAGCAACATAGATGCACACACAGGCGTCACTGAGTTAAAGTAACTAACTGTAATTATGTCTATAGGAGGTTTACTGAAACAGGAAACCACGTTATCCTTGACGCTGCCCTGTGCAAATAACATGTTTCCTGCTTTTGTTCTTTTACACTCCTTTTTATTCTTTGCACTTCTTTATTGAACAAAAAAGATCTACCAAGAATAACAAGTCATTATAGTGTAGAACATCTATTAGCCTTTAGATTAAGTCTTTGATTTGCTGTTATCCAGACATTTCAGAAAGAACAAGTGGATCCCCTGCAGATGAAATTGCAGCAGGTGAATGGACTTGGCCAGGGATTGATTCAGAGTGCGGGGAAAAACTGTGACGTGCAGGGTTTGGAACATGACATGGAAGAGATCAATGCTCGCTGGAATACACTGAATAAAAAGGTGAGTGACGAGGAGATAACAAGGTACTGTGAACAGAAGCACAGAAAAAGAGGCAGCATTTAAATAGAAGGTTCCACCGGAACCTGAATACACAAAAATTTAATAATTGCGATCTGTACTTGCTAAAAGGGTCAGTCATAATTTTAAGATATCTCTCTTCTTTCTCATAATGAACCTTCTTTCTGTGCTATAGGTTGCACAAAGAATTGCACAACTACAGGAGGCTTTGTTGCATTGTGGGAAGTTTCAAGATGCTTTAGAGCCATTGCTCAGCTGGTTGGCAGACACAGAGGAGCTTATAGCCAATCAGAAACCTCCATCTGCTGAGTATAAAGTGGTGAAAGCACAGATCCAAGAACAGAAGGTAAGCGAGCATGTTGGGACCATAAACTATAACAGCCATAGGGAGCGGCAGACAACACATTTCCTTAAATTTTCAGGGAAGTGTTCTGTTTTAGTAGGATCCTAACCTGTTTGGTATGATTCTGAAAAAAAAAGGTGAAATCTGATTTTGTCATCTTCCTTTATTAGTGTAGCCTAGAAGTCACTGTCAGGAAACCTAAACAACATACTGTATTTGACAAATCAATTGCAAAAGACTTCTTTAAAGTATTGAAAAACAAAGCTATCACTTTGAGGCATAGGGTGTGTCTGACACAAACCATGATGTGTCCGATCACTGCATGGGCATGTGAAAACTGGGCAATAAGAAGGAATGACAGAAGATGAATTTGGATCATAGTGTTGGAGAAAAATACTAAAAATACTGTAGACTACCAGAGGAGGAGACAGATCTGTCTTAGAATAAGTGCAGCCATGGTTCTCCTTAGATGGCAGGCCTTCATCTCATTTTGGCTACATCGGGATGGGTCAATCCTTGGAGAAGGACATCATGTTTAGTAAAGTAGAGGGTTGCTGGAAAAAAGGAAGAGCTTCAGTGAGATGGGTTATCACTATGGCAATAATAGAAGACTCAAGCAACAGTCGTAAAGGTGGTGCAGGACTAACTTCACAGTACCTAGCCTCAGTTTTATCCCACTAGTTTGCTATGGCATATGCTGTGTTAAGACAATTTTGTTTGTATACCCTGTTTTGATGTTTCATCCACTGCTTTAAGTTTTTTGTTTATCAGGCTTAGCAATATTCTAAATGTTATCTGCTGTGTACAAGATTCTGCCTTTTTCTATTTCATTTTCATTTCAGTACATTGTTTTCTTGTTCAAAGGAAGTCCCCTATCACTCTTCCTTTTGAAAATTTAATTGTTTGAAAAGTTTATGTGAACAGCAGCAACTATACTGTACCTCATGTTTTTTTCACAAGGTTGTAAAAACTCTTAATCATTTCAACTTAGGACATAGTGGATTTTTGTTTTTCTTTCTATTTTAGACTGAAAATAATGACCCTTTGTTAATGCTTTTTTGTTCTCTTTAAATGTATATGCAATAGTTGCTCCAGCGGCTCCTGGATGATCGAAAGGCCACAGTAGACATGCTTCAAGCAGAAGGGGGCAGAATAGCACAGTCAGCTGAGCTGGCTGATAGAGAGAAAATCACTGGACAGTTAGAGAGTCTTGAAAGTAGGTGGACTGACCTACTCAGCAAGGCCGCAGCCAGGTAAGGCCAAAAGGGTTCGAGGGATGGACCAGAGTTTATCTTACCTTAATTTTGACCTAATATCATTGAGATTCTTTAAGAGCTCCTAGAATAATTCATGCAGGGCTTCAGAAAGTACTTAATGACTTTATCTTGAAGGAGGAGACATATACAGGGATGAGCCTCATAACAAGAGTCACCATCAGGAAGTTATGAACTTCAGCCACTTCATAAATTTCAGACCAGGAAGACTCATTGCTTGGTTACTGTTTGGCTTCAGTATTATCACAGTTTGGAATGACAGGCACATATTCCTACAATCCAGCCAAAAGACAGATTGTATTTCCCCCCCCTCCCTTTGTATTTGGAACTAAGGAGCTCTGGTAGCCTAGTGGTAAGGAGTTGCACTGCCATACCAAAGGCATGTGGTTCAAATCCACCAGCTGCTCTGCAGGAAAAAGGTGGGCAGTCTCCTGTGTAATTTACTGCCTCTGAAAATCCACTGGAGGGTCAACTATGGGTCAGTCCCAACTTGCCAGTACATAAAAACAACAACATTTATCAGTAATGTTTTTTTTTCTTTGTTTTTTTTTTTATTAAATTTTATTAGTTTCAATGAACATTCACAGGGATTCTGGGCTTTCACTCCTTCATTGCTGCACCATTCTCTCCACCTTCCTCCCCAGTTTGTTCTTCTTCCCC